GCACATTGGTAATCCCAGCTACTCAGGAGGCAGAGATCAGGAGGATTGGTTCCAGACCAGCCAGGCAAAAAGTTAGAGAGACTCCATCTTAAAAAAGAAAAGCTAGGCATGGTAGTACACAAAATCCCAGTTACGCAGGAACTATAAGTAGGAAGATGGCAGTCCAGACCAGCCCAGGCAAAAAGTTGAGACCCTATCCCAAAAATAACTAAAGCAAAAAAGGGCTGGCGATGTGGCTCAAATGGGAGAGTACTTGCCTAGCAAGCTTAAGGCTCTGAGTTCAAACTCCAGCACCATCAAAAAAAAATCTGTATTCCAAATACTGTGTTTGACAGGCTAGTGGAGCAAGAGGTAATATCCCAAGTAACTCAGGCCAAGAGCTGACCTGGACTGACCCCAAGGCAACCTGGACACAAATGAAGAAGTGTTCAGATCCTAGCAGTTCTTGTCCATCACAAGCCATGCTTCCACTCCAAGTCTAACAATCCTCACTGATGTGTACATTCTGTATCATGGCAGACCCAGACTGCAGCAGGGAGGGACATCAAGGAAAGACTGAGCCCCGGATCACAGTCCTAGGTGGGGAAGTGACTAGTGCTTCCCCTGTCCACTCATGACCCTTCCCTGAACTCCACTCCTTGCTTTTCCCTAATCCTCTAAAAACCCTACTATTCCCTATTAGAAAAGTTTGAATGTGTGTGCAACTCAGGGAAGACCCTTAGAGACAAATCCATTTAGGAAGCTGAGAGAGCCTCCTTGGGCTCTGTGGTAGATGTCCCAGGACTTGGGGCACCTTCGAATCCCACCATGGAGAGATCACAAGGTGTATTGGAAGATAAGAGAACCATAAGCACAGGCCTGCCCCAGCTCCCCAGCCAGGGTGAGCCAAGAAAGGACTGGTCACACAGGAGAGCTTGCTTGCTGCTGAGGGTTTTCTGAATGGCTGTAGCTGGCCCTCTGTTTGCAATTTGTTACAACACTTGATCAGTGGCTAGGCCACAAGAGATCAAAAGACAAGGCTAGGCCAAAGCCAGCATCTTTCCAGCTTTCACAGGTGCGGGCTTCCAAAGAAAACTAAAACTCTTTCTTCTAAAACATGGCTTTGCTTCCCCCTGTGGAAAGGGTGGAGTAGTCTCCTGAGCAACACACACACACACACACACACACACACACACACACCACACACATCTCACACACACACACACACATATCACATCACAGTGTGAGAGAACGCTGGAGCGAGCACTCCTTACTCTGCTTTCATTTCTCTATTCTGACCATAAACAAGTATTGTCTTAGGCAACACAGCGTCTCCATTCCTGTGGCACTCTGTACAGCTACTAATGGCTTTCAGCAGCTGGTTGGCCAGGCGCATTAGCAGTAGGGCCACTTCCTCCTGTAATGTACTTTCTTTCCTTCCTGTGCAGGGACAGTAAATTCAGGAGATAAATCACCTTCTGCTCCACGGCCAAAGGTGGGAGGGAGGCAAGGAGCAAAAACAATTCCACTTCTCACCAGATCTCTAAGTAGTTGTTACTGCCTGCCAGAGGGTGATGACAATCTCTGACCTTGCCCAGTGCAGGTACCACCAGCTGAGAGCCAGGTCAGGAGAGCCCTAGAAACTAGATACTGAGCAGCATTAGGCTATGACCACCTCCTTCACACAAGACCTACCTGGAGATTTACCTTCCACATTAATGGCCCTAACAGTCAATGCCCGAGATCTGAACAAGTGATGGAGAAGCAAGAGCTCAGACTTACTCACTCACTGGCTTTAAATTAACTCATGTAACAATTATGGTTTTCAGTCCTACATTCAAGACCTCAATGGATGCTGGGGAAAGTGAGAGGAAATGACTCAAAGATGAGTCAGGCGTGAGCCCTCCCCCAGGCCGGCTGGGCTCAGAGGAGAGGACATAGATGTGTCAAAGTGTGGAAAGGGGCCGGGCCTTGGGGAGGGTCTAGTAGGGTACAATGAGAGTTCAGAGAAAGGAGAAATTATCTCAGGAACTGAAAACTCCCAAGAGCACAGCACCTAAGAAGTCATATACACAGCCACTAGAGAGGTTTGCCAGTGAGCAGTCATTGTTCATGAGCTGTTTTGAAGTAATTTAGTGTTCATTCATTAGTGTCACTGAGATTTTGCCAGGCACTGTGCTACCATTGTCCGAGGACAAATGGTAACAAGGGCAAAACAAATCCTCAGATATGACTTTTTACATTAACAGCACCAGTGGCCCTATTTACATTACCTTGGAGAGTATAGAAGAGAAAGGCTATAAACACCCAGACCCCAGAAAACCATCATGAAAACTGTGTCAGCTCCAGCCCTGTGAAATCTAAAAGACAAAGGCTGAAACAACTACACTGCAGTTCAGTGATGGCTCAGTTTGCCACACACCAGGTGCAACAATTTGGTAGCCCATTTCAGGAGTTTGGCTTCAAGCACATTAGGAAGCAGTGGGGATAGGTAGAAGCCAAATCAAACCATCTGTCTGTCACACCCAAACTGTCCTCTTGTCCTACTCAAAGTGAAAGCAAAATCCACACAATGATGCACAAGCTTTATATTTTCTGTCCCTGTGCTCCTCAATTTCTCCTTCCTGACACCTCTGACCTCATCTTTGTCTGCTCTTTCCTTCCAATTCTCCTGCATCTACATTGGCCTCCTGGTTATTCCACAAGGCATGCCTGCCTCAAGACCTTTGCATGTGCTCTTTCCTCTGCCTCTTCCTACTGAGATGTGCATAACTCCCTCCCTCCCTTAATGGCACATCATTAAGACTTCCTCTGGGAACCCTACTGACTTGCAGGACTCCTCACAATTCTCGTTCCCCTTGCCTGCTCCTCTTCCTCAGTACTTCTTGTTACTTCCTGTCTTTTTGTCTTTTTTTTTTTCCTCTCTCTTTCTTTTGTGTGGTGCTTAGAATTGAGCTCAGGCCTCCCAGGTAGGCAAGTGCTCTATTCCTGAGTCACACCCCAGCCTTTTAACGAGCCTGTATTTCTCATTTACTTTGTTTTCCATCTGTCTCCTTCACCTGCTGGAACATAAGCTCTCCTGAGGCCAGATTTCTGTGTTCTGCTCCCTGCCTTGTCCCCAGTGTGCATGGAAAGTCAAAAATGACTTCATAAAGATCTATTGAAGGTTATTGACAGACCCCGAAGACTAAAGCTTTCTGTGACTTAACCTTCAGGGAGCACTCTAATTTTTGGCCACAACATAAACCCTGTCTTTCTAAGTATGTTTACTTAGATTAATCTGAAAAGAAGAGATGGTTTTACAAAGACACCAGTCAACCCATTCTGGAGGGAGGCAACCTGGATGTAAAACCCAATTACAATGGATTTCAAAGTCAGGGGTAGCTGAACTGATTGACCCTGGTTACAACAGCCACCCTCAAGCCTTCGGCTCCCTTTTTGTGGTATTGGTGTTTGAACTTAGGACTTAGGGCCTTGCACTTGCTAGGCAGGAGCTCTACCACTTGAGCCACTCCGCCAACCCTAGCTCCCCTCCCTGATGCTCTTACACCTCGTTTCCTCACTTCAGCCTCCAGTGGACCCAGTTTCCAGATGAGGAAGCTGAGATACACATGAAGGAAGCTGCTCTTTGAGCCACCTGATGGATGAGACCATCCTGCCCACTGCCCACATTTGCTCATCTGCCACTCCTTAGTCCTGAAAACTGTAGGTCCTGTCTTTGGCCTGGAGACAGTTTGCCTGCTACCCACAGCTCTTACAGGTACCTCCCTGTTTCCTGCTGTCTACAGTGAGCAGGCCTCAGTCACTCTGCCTGGACCCAGGGTCTAGTGTGGCACAGCAGAAGGAAAGGCAGCCCACAGGTGGGATAGGAGTCCCAGTCCTGTCATAGAGCTTCCTTAGGCAAAGAAATCAGTGAGGAGAGGCAGGCTGTGAAGGCACCACAACATCAACAAGAGAGGTACATCAATGGTACATGTTCTTGGGCCACTAATCTAGAGTCTCTTTCATTCATGGTCCTCTGAGCATGTGCCTGATGTGCAGCTCAGGGCTCTGAGTCCACCACCAGAGAAACGTAGAACCTTTCAAAAAACAGGACACATAGATGGCACAGCCTGCAGTGTGCTGGGCAGCGATAGGTCCTATCTTCACAGGGGGACCTGAGGGTGGCAGGAACTTCCATTATCACTGTAAAACTCTTCACCAGGCCCTATCTCCCAGAGCCATGTTGGTGCTTTTCTCTCTTTTTTCTTAGAGTTCTCTCCCTCTCTGAGCAGCACAGATCCCAAGTCTAGCAATTGCAGAAGAGAGAAGGGGTGGCTATGCCCAGGAGGGTCTTTGTGAGTCTTTGAGACAAGCTAGCCCCCACCCAAAAAAGGAGGGTGACAGGACCCCCGGTAGAGCAGCCCACCCTCTGTGCCTTTACCCTCTCTCAGAACCCCCAGTCCCGTTGGGGAATGACACCCTAACAAATACACTGCTGGGAAGAGCCGCTAGAATCTCAACAGATTTGGATTACAACCCAGGAATCACTCTGCCAACCCCTAGCAGAGGGCAGAAGTCAGAGACCAAGGGAGGCGGAACTCAGTTTGACAGCTGTAAAAAAATATGAACCAGTTCACTGAGTCAAGTAGAGGCCACCTGCCACCGACTTTCTGCAACAGCGGCTGTTATTCCCAAAACAGTGGCCGGCTGAGGCTTCGGGGTGCACGCTCCCGCTTTTCCTGCCCGCGTCAGCTTGTGCCCTCCCGCCGACTGGGTACTCACCTTGCAGAAGCCCGGCATGCCGCTCCCCGACCAGGACCCCGCCGAGGGCGGGCGGCTGCACTGCAGGAACCGCCGGGGCTGCGGGACGTGCAGCCTCTGCGCCCAGGGCGTGTGCGGGTGACCGGGGCCGGGCCTTATCGGGCTGCGGGGACGCTATCTGCTCCGAGCGCGCGCGAGGGCGGCGCCCGCCTGCGGCCCGCAGATTGCAGGGCGCGCACTCTCTGGCCTCGCCGCGGCGCAGGCCCCGGGGCGGGGGCTGCGGGGCACGCTGGTGGCCAGGCTCCGGGCGAGGACAGTGTCCCCTGTGCGGCCATGGAGTACGGGGTAACCACTCCCGGAGCTGCAGGACAAGGCTACTGGCCCTGCTGCCCATGCTTTCACCGGGGTCTCGTATGGTTTAATTGCTGATTTGCAGGGAATCTAGGCACTGTCTTAGTAACACAGGTTCCCAAGATACCCGTGTTCCTGGGAACCAAAGGTGAGTCACCGCAGACAGCGGCTGGGAAAGAAGTGAGACGAGGGGTCGGGCTGCTCCAGCAGGCAGATCCATCAGCAGCCAGACTCCCGCAGGCCTGGCCAGGAAGGGCTCTTTTGCAATATCCGTCCAGTCTAAAGATGGGACGAAGTGGCATCTGCCTAGCCTAGCTTTATCCGGTGACAATACCATCCCCTGGAATAGCAGTTAGTGGTCGGCAGAGGAATGGATGACCCAGGGAAACGGAAGTGAAGCCCTGGAGCCTGGGGATGGCTTCCTGCAAAGGACCATTTGTACAGATGGCCTGGGTTTCCTTCTTCCAGGCACTGTATGCTGGGGTCCTTCCTGAGAAGGGGCTCTCCAACCCTCCACACGTGATGCTTCTCCTCCTTCCTAGGCTGAGGCTGGTCCAGGTTCCCTGATGAGGAAGCCATCTGGCTTCAGAACTTTGCTGCAGAACCAAATGGGCCCTGCTGTGAGGGCACAGCTGCCACAGGAAAAGGCCACGGAGAGCCATGCCACCATGACTCTGTTTTCCACAGCTGGAAAGCCCCTCACTGGAGGCCAGGCCACCTCCAGCAGACCAGCTCCTGACACTGGCAAACAGAATTCCAGGCCTTGTTGGAGCTAAAAATAACCACTCGTTGTGTCACAGGCCCTTAAGCAAGCATCTTTGGAAGCACTGGTCTCAAAAACACTGGCTTTTTTTTTTTTTCCTTTTTGTTTTAATGGGGCCAGAAAGCTAAAAACATAAAAGCAGGTCCCCTTACACAGGTTATCACATAACACATGGTCTTATTTGACCAAGCTAGTTCATGAGCTACTTCCTGGTGGGAAAGCCCTGGTCCTGTACCCCACTCAGGCATGGGAGTGAGTTGGAGCAGTAGCAGGCTTGGTACCTAGGAAGGGCTCAGTAGAGATTTCTGGAATTAATTCATGATTGTCATCAGTAAGAATGATAACAGTGAGAAGCCAAGTCACCATCCAGGGAAGAACAACATTTTTTCCCTTCATAGCTCCTAGGTTCTGAGGAAGACACCAGTGAGCACATGGAAAGTGTCACCATGATATAGATTCACCTGGCCTATAGGTAAGTACAATTTCAGATCTCAGCCTTAACCTTGCTAGGTCCCCTGTGGTGCTTCTGGTAGCACACAGTCCTTCACAGGTCTTTGCCTGGGACTCAAGACAGCTCAGCAGGTCTGGGGGCCAGTTTGCCTCAGAATTTGACCCCAGAAAGCCCTCCACCCCAGACATACAACATAAGACTATTGCCAAGGATATATCCAAGTGGAGCAAGACCAACCACAGGCAAGCAGAGCAACCAGGTTAGAAAGAGTTAGACCAGACTTCTAAATTCACACCTGGAAGCAGTGCCCCTATAGACAACCCACTAAGGATGAGCATGTCCTATGCTGTGAGCTGCAGTGGTACTTGTCACTTCCTTCATTAGCAGACTATCTCCACAAGTTTCATAAATCCTTCTCTCCCCCTCCCTTAATCTCTGAAAAGGAGCCACAAAATCCATCCTAATATGTAAAGCTCAAGCCAGGTTTTTTCAGGTTCTGCTTCTGGACTGTGAGGATCCCTTGAAAAATGCAACTCTCCCCCAACCTTGCCAAGCCCCCTTCACATGTCCCACTTGTTTCATTTATTTATTTCTTCATCATATGTGTACAGGTACTTGCTAGGTGTGGGCACTGCTCCAAGCACAGGTGAGACAGTAACTCTGCAATCTTTAAAATCACGCTGGGAAGTGTTCACTGTCTTTAGAATCATCATTATAGAAGAGGAGACATAGGCTTGGAGAGCCCAAGAAATCAATTCCAGAAGGGGCAAAGCCAGATTCCTATCCCAGTTAAGTCTGGATCCAGGGTCCAAGGGCCAAGTCTGACATTTTGCTTTTGGATCAAGACTTCAATTTTGTCCACAGTTAGTCAACATACTTTCCTTAATAAGTATGGAAATCAACAATTCTACTGAATGTTTCAAGTGTTATCAACTTAATGTTCCATTTTTTTACAAGATGATAAGTCAAAAAAGAGGTTTTTAGTATATTTTTTATTATAAAGGCAATTAAGACAACCTCACTGAAGAAACATTTGAAATGTGGAAGGCAGGCACGTCATATAACCCATCTCCCTTAGTACCCCAACACAACACATTTCTCTTCAGCCTCTCATTTTATTACATTTTTTCTTTTACTGGAATATTTTGATGAAATATTTCAAACAAAAAGAAAATTATAGAGCATATCTGTATGAATCTTCCCGTGTTCACTTTTCAGCCTTATTAAACTTTGCAGCTCCTGTCAGATTTTTGAAGACTAAGGCATTATAGAGACTGGAATGTAGTATGCTTTAATCCCAACACCCTCTGTTCTAGATGTAACTAACCTGAATTTAGTGTTTATTCATCCCAGGAATGTGCAATACAAAAAACATACACACCCATCTGTAAGATACAAGGAGGATAATGAAACAACATCATATGCCCACAAGTCAGCTAACAGAGTTCTGATGCCCTAACCCTGGCCTTTCATCTGGTTCTGCCTCCTGGCCCTGACCTTTGCCCTCCACAGATGAAAACACTACCTGGAATCTGTGCTCATCAGTCCCTTGCTCTTTTTTATACTTTTGCCACCTATGTATGGACTTATACAAGGACTATTTAGTTTTGCACATTCTCAAACTGTGAACAGAATTGTGCTGCACAATCCTTCTATTTCCATTTTTGATGCAACACAATGTTCCTGAGTTTCACCCAATAGTTTATTCATTTTTGCTGCTGCATCATATTCTATTGTAGCCAAATATCAACATTATTTTATTACTATTGAAATTTTAGCTGTCTTCAGCCTTTTGCTACTAAAAATACTACAGTTATCTATGATAGGAATGTTGCTCAGTGGTATAGCACTTGTCTAGCTTCCCAGCACTGAAAGAAAAAAAATATAGCTGGTGGCATGGCTCAAGTGGTAGAATGCCTGCCTATCCAGTGCAAGGCCTTGAGTTCAAACCCCAGTACTGCAAAAAAAAAATTGTAGTTATGAAAAAGCTTCCTGGTGCACATATGCAAATTTGTCTGAGTGCATGTCAGCGAGAGCAGGCTTGAGTGACACATCCTCTTCACTGACATTGCAGCAGCATCTTCCCCACTCAGTCTCTGAGCACATGGGTCTGTTGCAAAAGGAGCTGTCTCCTCTGGCCTGAAGGTCCACCATCTAGCTCTGTGCCAATGTCATATTATCTTCGTTGACACTGCTTTATAAGCTTAATATTGTTTGTAGTAAGTCTTGGTATGGGTGATGAATTCTCCTTGCTTCATTCCTATTTAAAAGTGTCAAAGTTTCTGTTGGTCTTTTGCCCTTCCATTCAAGTTTAGGAAAATTCCAGAAAAAAATCTATAAGGCATCTTAATATCATATGGAATATGTTTACCAATTTCATGAGAACTGATGGCTTTATATTACTGAGTCTTTCAATTATTTATATATAATATATTATTATATATTATATAATATATAGATCATATATATTATATATTATTATATATTATATATAGATCATATATATATATATATATATATATATATATATATATATGATACAATCTCTCTCTGTCTCATTATTTGGGTCTTTTTGTACATTATTCAATAATGTTTTATACTTTTCTCCAAAAAAAGTTCTGCCTACTTTTATTAGATTTGTCCCATGTATCTTACAGTTTTAATACTGTTGTGAGATCTTTTATTGAATTGTATTTTAATTTGAATATTGCACTCTATAGGAATCTTATTTTGTCAGTACTAGGGTTTGAACTTAGTGCATCATGCTTGTGAGGCAGCTGTTTTACCACTTGAGCCACATCTTCAGCCCTTTTTCTCTGGTTATTTTTGGGTCTTGCTTTTTGCTCAGGCGAATCTGGACTGAGATCCTCCAATTTAGAGCTTCCCACTGTCACTGGGATGACAGGTTCATGCCAACAGGCCCAGACTATTCCATTGAGATGGGGTCTTGAAAACTTGTTTGCCTGACCTGGCCTGGAACCATGATCCTCCCAATCTCAGCCTCTCAAGTAGCTAGGAAAATGTTATTTTTATCTTTATTTATTTATTTATTTATTTGCAAGGGGGATCTTGCTATGTAGCCCTTGCTTCAAACTCATGATACTCTTGCCTCTGTCTCCTGAGTGCTGGAATTCCTAAACCTGGCCTAGGAATATTACTAATTTTTGTATCTTGAACTTATAGCCAGAAATTTTGTTGAGGTCTTTTATTAATTCTAATAGTTTCTACATGGCTCTCTTTGATTTTTCTCTGCAGACTGTTAATACTCAAAAAAGGTCATTTTTGTCTGTTGTAGATTTTTCACCCCTTGTTTTCTTTTCTTATAGCATCACCCATTAAGATATCCACCCACTATATCATTGAGTAGAAGCACATCTGTCTAGGTGCCAGCTTAAATGGTGCTGCTTCTAAAGTTTCACCATTAAGTATAATGTTTCTATGGATACCTTTCATTAAAGAAGTTAGCTTCTAGTCAAAGTTTATTATTATAATCATGAGTGAAAGTTGAAATTAACATTTCTTATTCTATTTTTATGTGAAAGTAGTACATTGTACTAACAAATTTTTCCAATGCTAAACTATCCTTGCATTCCTGAGTTAAACCCTGCTGGGTCATAATGTATAATTTAAATATAGCATCACTTAATTAGGGTTGTGAGGTTTTCTAAAGCATTTTGCATTTATAATCATAAGTTATATTGGTTGCACTCATTTGCTGATGCTGCATAACAAACTGCCTCCAAATTTTAGTGATTTAAAATACACACAAATGTATCATTTCATGATCTCTGTGAGTCAGGAATCCAGGAGCAGATTATCCTGGGGCAGCTGCAGATCTCCATATATTTTAATCCGTACACTGCTATCTACTACAGTGTAAATGCTGTGCAAATAGTTGCTGCACTATTTTAATTGTTTAATTTGGGAGGGTTATAAAGGAGAATGGTAGAGGGGGTGAATTCAAGTATGATATATTTGATACATTGTAAGAACTTTTGTAAATGACACAATGTACCCCCACCCAGCACAATAAAGAAAAAAAATTTGTTTAATTTAAATTTGTTACACTGTTTTCAATTAGTTGTTTGTTTTGTTTTCTCTGAATATTTTCAGTTGGTGTCTGGACATGTTCCAACATAAGACAAAGAGCAATTACCATCTCTACTCACTGGAATACATTTACCTCCCCAAGAGTCAGCTGAATATGCTTGCTATTTCTGCAGGCAACTGCAAACCCAAATGTTAACTAGCATGGCTGAAGATGGTGCCCAGCAGCTCATCACTAAAGACCTCTTGGCTAACCAGTTCCTTCTGTAACCCAGTTTGGGAATGGTCACCCCATTAGTTCCAAGTCGCTTATTATCCAACCCAAATACCTGCACTTTTTTTCACTTTGTCTGCAAAATTATGCAAGACTTGGCCAATGCTCAGCATATACAAAACAGATAAAAAATTTTAATGTGACACTAAAAAATAAACAGAAGCCCTAATACTTTCTTTTCTCATGAAATGGACAGTCTTGTGACTGGGGGTCATTGCCCCATAGCATTTTTCTTCTGCCAAATCTTGGTTATGTTTGTTTATATCATTTGATGACACTTGGGAAATACTTGGTTTTATTATAGGTATTTGTGTACATGTTTGTCTCCTTTATTAAAAGGAAAAGTTTTGGGGCAGAGACTGCAACATATTCATCACTAGGTGCCATCAAACGCTGGGCTTTAAACATAATAGATGCTCAGTAATTACCTGCCAAGTGGACTATGAATGTATGCATGTACAAATGAATGAATGACTTCTTCCAATAAGCCACTGATGAGTATTACAAAGGAAATGATTTTAGTTGGTTGGGCATGACTCATTTTAGGTGAATCCATGTTAGCTGCCAGAGACCACTTTTTTTTCCCCTGACTGGTCATAAACCATCTGTTATAATCAATTCTAAAATATTTTTCAGGAATTTTGCCATGTAAAATGTTTGAAAAGTGAGACATCTACCTGTCACCTGTTTTCCTCTCCAGTTTGTCATGATTTAACCATCATTCCCAAGAGTGTCATTGTGACCATATGCCCAAGATCACTCAGTCCTGGCATGACACAGCTGTGTGCTACAGGAGCTGAGCTCATGTAACACTCATGTGCTAACGACTGACTGGGAACAAGCTGACCAAGCCAGTGGTGTAAGCTCTGTATAGTCTCTAAACTTTTTTATTTTTTAGTGCTGATAATAGAACCCAGGGTCTCACCCATCACAAGCACTCTACCACTGAGCCACACTGCCAGCCCCAACTCTATACTTTTAAAACTTAACATGCCTTTCAATAGATTTTTTTAATATATATCCTTAACATGTGCATATTTTCTCATTTATAAACCATGTATAATTACTATTGTGTTAATACATTATGTACATTATAAAACACATGGGAAATGGAACTTTAAAAGGATGAGATTGTCTCAGTCTAGATAAATACAAGTTCTAATGCCTTCTTCCTGCATCTTGCACTCCACTGGGTTACACAGACTCCACTTTGACAGCCAAGGACTAGCACCTGTGATGATGAAGATGAGCCAACCCCCTGGAGGCCAGGGAGATTCACTGGACTCCAGAACTACTGTTTAGTGTCCTTACTGCTTAGGTACTTCACAAACAAGTGCCAGAGACCAAGGTCATTAGCTAGCACCCTGGCAGGATCTGCAACCCTGTGTAGAGATGGGCAGTAGAGGGTGATGTTGTGAGCCCAGCTCTACTATGGACTGATTTTAGGAATCTCTCCACAACCACCATGGGTTTCCTGACATGTGCCTTATCTAGAGCAAGCTGCTGAGCACCACTGAGCCATCCTGGCTCATCATAAAACAAGAAAGCTAACATCTATGGTTCAGGCTTTTCTGAGAATCAAATGAGGTAATACGTGTAAATGTGCCTAACAGAGGCACAGAACTGGCACCCAACAAATGTGTGGCTCATGTATAGAGTGCGACCTTTTTATCTAGGAGGTGAGATATTCAAAAAATGAAGCTGCTCAGACCTCATTAAGAGCCTCCATGTTAACTCACAGACGTATTTCCCTTCTAGTCAGTAGCTGAAGATATAATTACTTAGAAAAGCTGGAAGGGACAATCTAGGGGGAGAAAAGTGGCTGGTGGAGATAAGGGAGTAGGAGGTAATGAGCTACAGAAGAAGGCCAGCGCCCAACTTAGAGAAGAAACAGACATATTTACTCAACTTTCCCTCCCTCTGCTTCTTCTCCTGTGAAGCAGTCTTTATAGTAGAGATATTTTGCAATGTAGTTGAGTGTATTTTTAAATGTATTATGCAGTGTTTAAGATACACAAAAAAGTTAAAGAAAAACACAGCACATGTGTCTATCAGTCTGCTCAAGAACCAAACCCTGGAGCAAGTTAAGTCCACTTCCTGCCTCCTCCATCGCCTTCCATCCGACCATTACCCATTTGATCTTTACCACTCCACACAGTTCTACATATTTTTATAACATATATATGTATCCCTCAACAGTATAGAATATCATTTTGGGTGTTTTTAAACAAAAAAAATGTGTTGTTGTTATTATTATTTCTTTGGTTCATTAACTCACTCTTACAATACATGTTTATAAAAGTGCGACCATGTTCTTTGTGCCGTGATAAAGAACAATAAAGGAAAATCCCTTAGCTTCCCAGTCCAAAGATGTCAGCACAAACCACATGAAAACTGATTCCTTTCAGAATTCTTCCTGCTTCCACTTCCCTGCTCCTATGGAAAACCCACTGTTCTGTTATCAGGCAGAGCAATGATGGATACTGTGACTCAAGAAGGCAGAGGTAGGGGTGTTTCTAAATACATAAAGATGTGTCATGAGTTTTTACATGAGTTGTCCTCAGAGGAGGTAGGCGGAATAGGAAAGGTGGGGCAGGCTCTGAGCCCCCTGGAGTCCCCTTTGACTTTCCAGACAGGAGTTTGGAATAGCGTGGGATTGTCTTGAGTCTCACCCAAGGAAGTTTGACTACAGAGGCATCTGCCTAGGAATTTGTGCTAATGAGACTCAGTAATGCTTCCAGTCCTGCCCAAGTTCATAGTGTGAGTGGAAAGCTAGATACTGACACCTGTCTGGCTTGAGGCCATGAGAGTCCACTCCAGGGTGAAACTGCCTAGGCCTCCCTTCTTGCCTCCCACTGGCCCCAAGTGTATACAGATTTCACAAAGTACCAAATGGCATGTTAGGGACCCTGAGCACATGGGGCCACTGCAGGAGGGCACAGTATGGCTAGTTCCAGGCAGACACAGGAACCTTGGACACACTTTGCTTAGGACCTAGAGTCAACACTGAGTATTCTGTTTGCCTGATGAGGACACAGTCATACTTCAAGCTGCACACCCAATCTGGAATTACACAGGCTGCTAGATGCAAAGATGATCAAGTTCACGTGTTCTTGTCCTGTGGATTACCGAATAAAAGTACTCCAAGTACTTCTATGAACACAAATGATCATACTCTATACAATCTTTCATTGCAATTGCTGGTCAGCTGCAAAGCTTTTCCAGTTTCCTTCCGCCCTGGCCTTTGAGTGACACTTACACTGTAATCACTCACACCAGGATGCTCATTGACTGTGCTTGGCACTCAGGGCAGAACCACCCTCCAACACATTGTGTAGAAGGCTGCCAGCAATCCATAGGTGTCAGTGTCACAGCTGCCTCTGAGATCTGCATCCTGCTTGCAGGGCTGATCTTCCCAGAGACAACTTAGAAACAATCTGCCTCCATTTCCTACAGCTGCAGGATTTTTATTATATTTAATACATATCATGAAAATGAATAGGATTCACTGTCATATTTCCATACATGCATATATTGTGCATCAATCGTATCCAGCCACCTTTCTGCCTTTTTCCCTCACTCCCCTCTTCCCTCCACCCTAGGAACTCTTCCCAGTTACAAGTGGAGATTTTGAAAAGGGAAGTGGGCATTCACCTCACCCAAGTCCCGCCCACTAGTGACTGTTCACTGGCAATCATGGGTCTTCAGCATCCCAATCCAAATAGGCCTGGCAACTCTGGATCTGTAGCACCCTCCCAACAGGCACCCGTCTTGCCTCCCACTAGCCCCAAGTGTATACAGATTTCACAAAGTACCAAATGGTACAATCCTACAGATGCAATCCTACAGATGGGGAGGTTATTTCTGTGACCCCAGGTGCCCACTCTCTGTCAGCTGTTATATTCTCCATCCTTCACTTTCTGCTTACACAATTGCCCCATTTTTCTAGAAAAGGCTTCCCTGGTCCCTTCCATTATCCTACTGCCCATAACCCACAGGGCCAACGTTCTCATTCCCTAAGGTCTGACTCACTCACTAAAGAGCTCCAGATCTGGTGCTTCCTCTCCACTGCACCCAGCTCATGATTGCTGGGCAAATCTCAAAGCTGGCCTGCCTGCCCACTCCCTGGTCAATGTCCTCATTATCACTTCTCTCCCTCCTTCCCTCCCTCCCTGCTGCCCAGCCTTTCCCAGCCACACAACCTCTACTCAATGTCCCCAGTCACATTCTTCACCCCAGGCCAGTGTGTGCTCCAGGGTCCCTAGATACCTGAGCACAGTCTTCTCTGAATGAGGAACAATGTTTTCTCTTCTGCTTACAAGTAAACCATTTCATTGTAAAGAGCAAATGCCAAAAAGTTTTAAAAAAAAAAGAAAAGGAAGTCAAAATCATTCATAATGTCTCCATGACTGGAAAAGCACTGAAATTTTGACACATTCTCTTTGTCTTTTTTTCTTTACATATGAATGCTACATTTTTTTCAAAATTAGAGTTGTACCATATATAAGATTTTGTATCCTGCATTTTTCTCAAGCCTCACTATATAAATGTATTCTTATTCTTGCCTCTGTATCTTCATATAGACTGTCATTCCCAAATCTCCCTCCACTTCGCTGCCTTCCATCCATCTATCTAAGTCTTCCTTTGCCTTTAATTCCTGTCTCATAAAGCCTGGCCTAATCATCCTAGTCCATATTAATTTTGTTCCTGTCAATATGCTCAGCCTTTGTTCCATAGATTGTGTAATTCCCTGCTTGATATATTACCCTGTCTTTTCTAATCACTTTGAGAACATTTTGGTAAGCATGTCTCACACATAGTAGGTGCTCAATAAATATGTGCTGATTTTCAGATTGCTTCATATTATTATTTTGACTCCAGTGCTCCCTCAACTCTCTGTTGTTTCTATGTAGAAGTGGAGCATCTCACACTTCCCAGAAGCTGGGGCTCAACAAAAGTATGGGGCTCACATCTTATGTTTTTATAATCCAGTTCTTCCTGTGGTGTAAATGAGATGTGCTTCTCAGCAGATGCACTTCTCTGAGTCACACTGATGTAGGATATCCTGGGCCTTTGTGGGCTGGGATTTATCAAGGGTGGGCCACCCTAGGGTCTGAATGACTCAAACATCAAAGAAGAAATAATCAGATGAAAGCTCTCCT